GAAAATCGCATTCGGTCTCGTACTGTATCGCGTACATTGTCAGTGTCGTGTGCTTTGCTTGGCCATTTGTTGTGATAAACAGGAAAGTGTGTCCAGCTGAATTCAATTTGAGTTTTGTTAGATGAATATAAAAAGCTTGAAGACTTGAATGAACCCCAAAGAGTGTAAAGACTATCGATTCTACCGTTCGACTCCACCGGCAAGGGACATAAGTATCACTTTTAAATCAGTCTCTTTCCTACTACTTGTTTCCCTTCTGTTTTCAGTTTATATAACCAATTCTTACTGTGTTTCCAGATCCCTACTATCACTACCACTCGCAAACCACGACATCACACACGGTAGGCAGAGCAATCCTAACAACCTGCGCACTTTGCTTATGTCTACTAATACACTACTTTCTTTTTCTATTGGTCTCTGGAATTGCCAGTATGCTGTAAACAGCAGATTTTATTACTTCTATTACAAGTCATTCAAGACTAAACCTCATGGCCCTGACAGAGAGACGTGGATCAAACCAGAGGACATTGCTACACCTGCAGCACTCTCCAATCATTTCTCTTCTTCCCACTCCACCCGTCTGACTGGAAGAGGTGGAGGTACTGGTCTGCTTATCTCTAATGATTGGAAATGTAATCCTTTGCCATCTCTGAGTATCAACAGCTCCTTTGAATCACATTCAGCCACTATTACCCACCCTCTTAAATCCATTTTATAGTTGTTTATCGACCCCCAGGACCACTAGGTAACTTCGTGGAAGAATTAGATGTGCTGCTCTCAACCTTTCCTGAGGATGGTACTCCTCTAGTTATGCTTGGAGACTTCAACATCCACCTAGATAAACCTCAGGCTGCAGACTTCCACACTCTGCTTGCCTCTTTTGATCTCAAGCGAGTGTTAACTACGGCTACTCACAAATCAGGCAACCAACTGGACCTTATTTACACACCACACTGCTCCACTGATCATGTGCTGGTTACTCCACTGCACACCTCGGATCACTTCCTTCTCACTCTTAACCTCAACATGATGCCTGACACAAAACATACCCCTACACATGTCACTTTTCCACGTAACCTACGCTCACTCTCACCCTCCCGGCTATCTGCTATAGTTTCATCTTCGCTTCCTTCCCCTGAACAGTTATCATCTCTTGATGTTAAGAGTGCTACCGATACTTTCTGCTCCACTCTTACGTCTTGTTTAGACACTGTCTGTCCCTTGTCTTCCAGGCCAGCTCGTGCCACCTCTTCTGCCCCTTGGCTATCTGATGTTCTCCGTGAGCATTGTTCTAAGCTCAGAGCTGCAGAAAGAGTATGGTGCAAATCACAAAATCCTACTGACCTTAATGTATATCGATCACTCCTCTCTTCCTTCTCTGCTAATGTCTCCACTGCTTAAAGGACATACTATCACAACAAAATGAACAATTCGTCTAACTCTCACATGCTCTTTAAACATTTTCCTCGCTCCTTTGTCCTCCTCCTCCCCCTCCTTCATCAACTCTAACAGCTGACGACTTTACCACATTCTTCATTAATAAAATTACAAACCTCAGTGCACAATTTGCCACACCACAAACTGTCAAACACATCTTACCAGCAAACATACACTCATTTTCATCCTTCTCTCCACTCTCTGAGGCAGTCTCTAAACTCATCCTTTCCAATCATTCTACTACTTGTCCGCTTGATCCTATTCCATCTCATCTCCTTCAAGCCATTTCTCCTGCCGTTGTACCTGCACTCACTTGCATCGTGAGAGTGTGAACATTCGCGTCCTATACACCGCAAAACCCTGAGTGTCTCTAAACTGGAGCGCACACACAGAACATTCCAGCAGGGAGCAATGCCGTCATCTTTCTCCTTTAAGTCTAAACACAGAATAAGAACATACACAAGCAAGGCCATATTGCCAAGTGCCTCCCCTACACATCTCTCTCATGACGGTGACAGCCACACTGTTTATAACAAGGGATCTGGCTTCAGCAGTGGACATTCGACCGAGACTGCCTTGCTCTCAGTTGTTGTAGCCCTAAGACTGGCAAGAGCGGATTCCAAATCTTCTATACTTATTTTACTGGATCTGTCTGCTGCTTGTCTTGGAGAGGTGAAGTGTCCAAGTCACAACATCTAGCTACCGTTCTGTCATTCAGAAACATGGCTTTTCATATCACTGCTATGCTGATGACGTTATGATTGATGATAAGCTGAATTTCTCAGACCACATTGCTAAAACTGCGCGGTCCTGCAGATTTGCTTTATTCAACATCAAGAGGATCAGGCACTTTCTTTCAGAACATGCAACACAACTCCTTGTTCAAGCTCTTGTTCTGTCCAGGCTGGACTATTGGAAAATGATTTTTGTAAAATGTAAAAATAACTTTCAAATTCGGTAATACTTAAAGCTTTGAAGTGCTGGGAAAAGTTGTGTGACGCATTTAAAAACACTCGAAAACATTAGACCATTTCTGCCACAAGTTGTTCCTGTAGTTTTACTGTTAAATCCATGGTGAATGGTGGTGATTTGTGTTTGTTGAACAATGTTTTTCCTGGTTTCCACATCAATGGCGTTTGTTCTGATATCTGTAGCTTTAACAGAATTCTGTGCCGAATTTGAATGCTTCTCACAAGATTACACAGAGATGTTATTGATTCTGCGGCACATTCGACTACTTTCTTCACTGTATCTCCCAGCGTTGTGTATAACGGTGCCGCGTGATCAAGATCAGCCCACGGCTCTGGCCCGAGCAAATAAATGGTCTGTGCTGTGTAGCCCCAACGAGTAGCGCGGATTCGTTCCACTTTCGGTTTGTTTGTCCAATGTAGCTCTTGTAAATCAGTCATGATGAGAATGCAAGGCTGTTCATGCCTTTTTGGGAACTAAGAAACAACCTTTCTTTGACTGAATGCGCATTGCAATGACGTCACAGGATCCATCTAAGCCCAAAATCTGTGACAAATCTGCGGCAATTATGAAAATTTGTGAGCTCTTGCAAAAATTGCGGAGTTTGCTTGATTTTGCGATAAATTCAGCGATCGCAGAATCGCAAAATCCTGGAGGGACTGACTAACACAATGTAACAATATAGCAATGCAAATAACACTAAACTTACTTTGTCTGTCACTCATACAATGTCCATATAATGGGAGCAATCGAGCGAACTCTCCAGTCAGAACTGCTGATGCAACACTAGAGCGCAATGCTCGTTCACAGTTTACTCAATGTCCGTACAACACCGGGTAAGTTGCGTAACTCCGTTCTGTACAGCACTTATTATATGCGTATCTCCGTCACCGTGGCAAACATGGAGAATTATGAACACAAACCATACTTTAATCATATTTTAATCACATCATTGAGTCCTCTTCCAATTGCCGATAATATATTTTAAATGTTCCAAAGACACCAAATTTTGATTGAAGAAGATTCCAGTCAGAAGGAGCAGCATACATAAAAACCTTTTTACTCAGTTCAGTTCGGGCAAAGGGAACAGAGAGAGTATAACAATTTTAGAATGAAGGGAACATTACTCAAAATTCTTTCGTTGAATAAGACAACAGAGGTATGTAGGCAACAACCACAAAATGGTTTTGTAAATAATTAAATAACACTGCATTTACTTTCTAGTGAACAAAGAAGGCCAAGCTACTCTGTTATACAAAGTGCAGTGATGAGTTGAAGGTTTAAAATCTGAAATTAATCTTAGAGCACCATGATAAACAGCATCCAGAGAAGAAAGAAGATGGAGCAACTTGATACACTACATCACCATTATCAAGTATAGATAAAAAGGTAGCAGAAACTAGTTTCATTCTTACATTTAATGAAAAACAAAGCTTGTTTCTAAAATATAACCCAAGCTTAATTTCTTTTCTTTAGTTGAGTAATGTGAAAGCTAAAAGATGTGTGTCATCAACAATGATGCCACGGTATTTATACTCTTTTACTAACTCAATCACATTACCTTGTAAGGTCTGGAGAGAAATTAGATTATTTTCCATTTTCTTTGAACTTGAAAATAATATACACTTGGTTTTATCAGCATTCAAAATAAGTTTTAAGTTATAAAGCCATGACTGAATGACATCAAAAGCTAATGTAAATATGAAATAAAAGGGGCCCCAGCACAGATCCTTGGGGAACACCTTTGGCAATCTCCAATAGTTCCGATAGTTTGCCTTCAGCCTGCACACATCGAGTTCTTCCACTTAAATAATTTAATCTCATCTAATTTAATTTAATCTTGCCTTAAATTTTTAATACCCTTTCTTAAAATTTCATGAATTTCTTTGTGTTTCATATATTTTATTTTAGGATTTTAATTGTCTATAATACAGATAAATATAAATGATAAAATATTGAAATATTTATCTTTTTAATAACTTAAAAATATTTATAAAATAAAAATTGTAATGTTAAAAATATTAATTAAATGACCTGCAGAGGGGGATGCTTTCATAAACAGTCAATGCTGAATAATGCCGTAAAAAGCAAAGTTCAATGCAATAATGCTGTAAATGCTTTGTTGTTGTTATTGTCGTTTCCCCCACAAAAAATAAACTCTCCCTGTGACATAAATACTACAGTAAAACTCTGAAAACAACACTGGTTTTCCAAAGAACCAAAAAAAAGTGGATTGAGTCACATTTTACAGCACTCTTGTTACAGTGCAATTACATAGTTAAGAAAGTGCCTATGTAATGAAAAAATTATGAAGTAAGAAGTAAAGGCAAATAAGGCCTTATACTTACTATGTCATTATTTTGGAAGAGATTGCTTACATATCATTGTATCTGGTACAATGTGCTTTAAAGAATTGTGTATTCATTTTGCATCACAGGGCTACATGATGTTAAACCAGTGTGAAAGTAACACATGATCCACCCCTCACAGCTTTACCATACAGCAGCTCTCACATTAAAACCAGCATCAGTCTTACACAAACGCTCACTCACTATACAGGCTTCAGAGAAACTTGAGTACGACTACAGGGCAGCATGTCTAATATCAGAAAAGTTCTTTGTTGGAGGCAGAAGAGAAGAGAAGGAGTGGGAACAAACAAGAAGTCGATTCCCTTCAACAAGCAGGACTACCAGAGCCTGAAGCAGAGGTGTCTGGTGAAAAATACCCTGTTCTGTGACCCGACCTTCCCTGCTGAATCCAACTCTCTGGGATACGATGAACTCGGACCGCAGTCCTCCGAGACCAGAGGAGTGCAGTGGAAGAGACCTAAGGTACTGCAGAGTGTGTATGCTTGCTTCCACACAGGTGGAGTTTAGGTAAATATTAAGACCCTTAAAATTACTTTTGTTTTACCCAATTACTTAAATGCAAAAAAAGTAAATAAATAAAAGGTAATAATGTTAATTAAAGAGTGGTGATGTTAATTCAATATAACATTGTAATATCAATATTAAATAATAAATATAAAAACAGTATTTTTCATATAGTTTTGGTCATGCTTGTGTTTTTATACAATATTCCATTTTTACCAGATAGTGATAGATGTATTAAGGTTAATTCGATATTAATCAATAATTTTATTTATTTAGTCATTTAGCAGACGCTTTTATCCAAAGCGACTTACAAATGAGGACAACAGAAGCAATCAGTTGTAGCATTAAAACGACTAAAAACAGATCCAAAACTAAAAGCTCAAACTTTATAAATACTACCTATACACATTTTAAAAATAAAGAAATTAAATAAAACTAAAACTTAATAAGACATATACAGACCTAATAAATTCAGACATAATTTAACTAAAATTACAATATTACAAATCAAACGACAAGTTTATCAGTAATCCTAAAAAAATAACACTGAGCCAAACACACATGCTAGAAAACAACAACTTGCTGACACATAGTAAGAAATGGTTATAAAAACTGAAACAGAAGTAAAACAAGTATTAGGAAAGAGGAGAAATAAAAAGCGATACTTATTAACAATTTATTTATTTATTACAATAATAACAGTAGGCCTATTAAAATAATATTTTTCACAAATAACACCAGTTAATTTAGATGTTACCCCATAAAACATATGTTAAATTATGAACAAATAGCAAACATATGCTATTTTTGTGGTGTACTTATTCTATTGTATTTTATTATATTTGTTATATATTTCTGTTGAATGCTTGAATCTGATTGGTTGACGAACATTCTAAGGTGTGCAATTATTTTCAGGGAAACGCACGGCTGAAGTAGTTGCAGGCAGATCTCGAGCGCATTACATGCCCATATCACTTCATCAAACCATTTCAGTTATATCAGAGGTCCTTACAACAGCAAAAGAACCAAAACCCACAACGACACTGACCAGGCAAATAAATATAGTAAACAATAGGATAAAAACAGAAAATTATTTCCATGGTTTTGCCACAAAATTGTTTTATTATGTGCAGTAAGCACATACTCTTTTTACTCGTACTCAGTACACACAATACACTCACACACAGAAATACACACGCGCACAGAAATGTGTTGTTAGCACTTCTCCGACCATTTTCCAGTAAAATGGTTTAGCAACTTAAAAGCCACATGTGAGTTCTCACTAATAACGGCGCTGTTCTTGAAGATGATGAACTTGCAGTTTAACTTTTAGTAGAAACGCGTAAGAAATTAATCCTACTCACAAGAGCGTTTTAAGTACAAAATCCTGACGAATGTCTTTAAATACAACATCTGAAAAATATTTGAGGTGTAGTTACCGTAGTATAAGCAGAATAGCTGACTCTGGTCCATTGAATTCTTAAAAAATAATACTCACCCGAATTGGTGATGCGACCATAATGCGAAGCGGAGGTGCACTATTTTCTAATAATTCAACAGCCCGTCATCAATTATTCCTTACTTAATGCACAGGTAGTTGCAAGTCAGTTTAATCACCGTTCTATATTAATGCGCAGCTTTAATTGATGCACACACACCCACACACACACACACAGAGAGAGAGAGATCAACGTTCTGAACAGACGCACTAGATATGAGCTCTTATTAATTCACATAAAATACTGCTGTTAATTGAGGCAAAAGTTCATAAAAACCTGTGTTTAACACAAAAATATTTTGCTGCTGCTTAATACTTTTTTGGAACCTGTGACACTTTTTACAGAATTCTTTGATGAATAAAAAGTTAAAAAGAATAGCATTTATTTTAAAATATTTAAATATAGAAATCTTTTCCAACAATATAAGTCTTTACTTCGATCACTTTTTATCAATTGATAACATCACTGCTGAATAAAAGTATTAAGTTATTTTAAAAAAAGAAAAGAAAAGAAATGTAGTGACCACAACATTATGAACGGTAGTGTATATTGTTAGAAAAGATTTCAGTAACACTTTGTATGAAGCCCATATTTATAATACATTATAAGGGTATTCTTAATGAATGCATTATAAAAAACCTTATAATATGTTGTATCTTCTCATGAATATTCATAAGAACAGTTTTAATGCATTATAATATTTTCTTATTTGTGGTTATAGCTCATTGTATATATACACAATGAACACATTGCATCCACTTAAGTTACAATGGATCATATTTCTCATAGTTATAATGTATTATAAGTCTCATATCTTGCCATGTTACTTATGTTACTTTACTTAAAGCAGACAAAGACCACTTATAAGTAATAATAATTGTTTCTCAAACAACCATAAGATCAGATATCAGATCAGATGAATGTGCAATATGACACATTTGCTTTTAACTATTTTTATTGTAATATCAGTTTGATTATTTTGGTACCCTTTAGACAGCTGTTGATAAGTAACTCTGCAACTACATGTCAACTAGCAGTCATTAGAGTATTAGTAATATGTCTGCTAAATATATGCTAACACTTTATTTTGATGGTGTATATACAGCATATATCAACTTTTTATTATTAACAATTGCCAGCATCACATAAATTTCAACTGGTATTTCCATGTTTTTGCCACAAAATTATGTTTTATTATGTGCAGTAAGCACATACTCTTTTTCTCCCGCTCTCTCTCCCTTACAGATGCACACAATACACTCACACACGAAATGTGTTGTTAGCACTTTTCTGACCATTTTACCAGTAAAATGGTTTAGCAACTTAAAAGCCAAGTCAGTTCTCACTGATAACGGTGCTGTTCTTGAAGATGATGAACTTGCAGTTTAACTTTTAGTAGAAAAGCTGCTGCCGAACACGGTTGAGAAACACACAGACTCAGGTAATTCACACATGCACTCTCTCTCTCTCTGTCTAATAACTTCATTATTAACTGCAATGATCTGCTATCAACGCCTTAAACCTCCATTACTAAGTCTAAAATGAGGTTTTGGAATTAGCAACGGAGATGTTGGATGAAACGCGTAAGAAATTAATCCTACTCACAAGAGCGTTTTAAGTTCAAAACCCTGACGAATTTCTTTAAATACAACATCTGAAAAAATATTAAGCAGCATGTTGTGACACTTTTTTCAGAATTCTTTGATGAATAAAAAGTTAAAAAGAATAGCATTTATTTAAAATATTTAAATATAGAAATCTTTTCCAACAATATAAGTCTTTACTTCGATCACTTTTTATCAATTTATAACATCACTGCTGAATAAAACTATTAATTTCTTTTTAAAAACTTGCTAGTTTTGGTTATTGGGGGGTTATATCCCCCCCACAAACTATGCCCCTGCATGAGTTAGAAGAAAAGCTGAAAGAACAGACTGCAATGTGTTTACAACTTAAAAACAAGGAAAGCGAATCTCCCAACAACTGCACTGAAAGTAACTTACAACTCCTTTATGAAGTGAAGTCACACGTGTGAACCAATGATTCAATGGCCCATTCATAAAGTGAGCTGTTTACTTAATTCCTGAATTGTTTGAACAAATCAAATGAATGAATGACTCAATGACTTACTCATAAAGACATTTATGAGTGATCCTACCAATTTTAGTTTATTATTTAGAGTATCATTTAATTTAAAAAAAGGATAGTTCGCCCAAAAATGAAAATTCTATCATCATTACTCAACCTCATGTTGTTTCAAACCTGTATGACTTACTTTCTTTTGTGGAACATGAAGGTATTTAGAAGACTGTTGGTAACAAAGCTGTTTTGGTTACCAATGACTTTCATTGCGTAAACAAAAAATACTGTTTCTCAAATGATCTTCTTTTATGCTCCATTGTTTATGTTAGGGCGTTGTAGCCTAAATGTGTAATAAATTTTATGTTGATCAAAATATTCCTTGCTAAAGCTGCTTTTTGAAATGTCTACTACTACTTTTCTCATTTAACACAATAATAGCTTTAAATGATCTTTTGGGGGTATCTTCGTGGTCAAATTTAATTTACAATTAATAAGATTAATTAATCGCCACACCATGTAATTAATTAGATTAAAAAACGTAATCTATTGACAGCCCTAATATTAAGAAAAGTAAATGAAAGAAAAAAAATGTTGATGCAACAAAGAACCATTTCTACAGTAGTTTATCGGAGATGGAAAACATGTACTGTTGTCAAGTCACCTTTATTTATATAGCGCTTTTAATAATACAGATAGTGTCAAAGCAACTGTACAGCATTAATTAGGAATATAGTGTGTCAATAATGCAAAAAGGCAGTTTGTCATTGAATTCATTTATGTCATCATCCAGCTCAGTTCAGTTTAAATATTATCCAGCGATATCGCCGACTTGATTGCACAGATACTAAGTGTCCCCAACTAAGCAAGCCAGAGGCGACAGCGACAAGGAACCAAAACTCCATCGGTGACAGAATGGAGAAAAAACCTTGGGAGAAACCAGGCTCAGTCGGGGGGGCCAGTTCTCCTCTGACCAGACGAAACCAGCAGTTCAATTCCAGGCTGCAGCAAAGTCAGATTGTGCAGAGGACTCAATTGATTCCTGTGGTTTTGTCCCGGTGGCCGTCTGAGACAAGGTCTTTACTGGGGATCAGTCTCTGGGGCTCATCTAGTTGTCCTGGTCTCCACTGACATTCAGGGCTGTAGAGGTCCTCTCTAGGTGCTGATCCACCATCTGTGCTGGATACAGACTGGATCTGGTGGCTACGGTGACCTCGGAATAAGAAAGAAACAGACTAATATTA